TCTCTCTCTCTCTCTCTCTCTCTCTCTCTCTCTCTCTCTTTCTTGTGACAGTTGCCTAGCTAATATTATTATTATTATTTGTTTTTGTTTTTGTTTTTGCTTTGTTTTTTAAAGCAGCCTAGCCGCACAGACGTTGGTGCACTACATGCTCTATGATTGTGTTGTTCTGTGGGATAGCTTGGAAGCATCGGTGTCTTTTGAAATAAGATAATATGTTAACGAGGTCTTGCAAGTCCTGGCATTTCAAAAACCTTTGACAGATTCAACCAAGAAAAGAAATGTCCGTAATTTAAAAGGAAAAACAAGAAGGATCATCATAACACTTGCCTGTGGCTCCTTTACACATGGGTCGGTTCAAGCTGCGTGAAGCCGGAGAAAATATGTGTGGCCGCGTGGTGGAATCAGGCTTACTTCAAAATAATCAAAGTAAAAAAACTTTTCGCAGGTTTGTCAATTTTTATCAAAATTTTGTTTTTTGGCTCAACACCTTTCATGCCCATTAAAGAACTCATTTCTGTCTGGATTTTTTTTTAAAACGTTGAGTAAAGACACAAAGAATGTAAATTTTTAGTTACCACGGACTCTTTAGCTAAGGAAATAACTAATCTTTGGCGGCCATTTTCTCACTTATTTTACCTATGAAAACAGGCGACCCCACCTCCTTCATTTGCAAATATCTCGACTTGTATTCAAGATAAATTGATGTTTACTTTATCCAAATAAAGACAAGTGAACAAGCTTTAGATTGATACCAATAACTCTACATGCCCCAAAATTGACGAGAGCCTTATTCCACCACGCTGCCTCACATATTCTCTTTTAGTTCGGGTGCGATCATGTTTGTTCACAAAATTGCCAAGTTCGTTGCTGTTGATTCTTTCAGAAATCTAAGACCAACCTACAGTATTTGCTTTTTATCAACGACTGCACTATACCAGTAGATGCTTGTTTCTCCTCTGTTTCTGCTGGAGTCGTGAATGTCGAGAAAAGTCTCTCCGATTAATCCTTTAGAAACACCTTCAGCTACATTAGCGGGAATTGTTAGTGCACGTTTTCCGACGGGGAAATGGGATGAACGGTATGACATTAACAATAATTCAAGTTCGATGAAATGCCGACATTTTATGGTTTTCCGGCTGAATCTTACTTCATGGCTGTGTGCGTCTTTTGCCTACTTCTTTCCACATCATCGCATATACATGTACTACATAGATCTACATACATACATACATACATATTATATACATGCATACATACATTATAAATATGTCTACATTTTA